TTTTGCTGTATAAAGGCTAGACCCACACATACACTTAAACATGTGCAAAGTGCCAGGTAGAATCCTGGTTTCGTTTTCCTTCTCATTCCCCATGCTAGCTGTAGTTCTCTTACACTTTAAAGTTCCAAGCATGACGGAGTCTCCCACAGTAATGATCCCACTAAACAGAAGCACACATGCTAAACAGGAAAAACTGTCAAAGAAAAGATAAGACTTGATTCCCTATAATTCAGGTAATGAAGAAAAGGGAGAAGATATACATAAGTATTTTCATCCTTAACTATGCATTTGGAGAATAGCTCACTCTCCAACACTTTCTCCCGTATGCGTTGTCTTCTACTGTTCTTTATTAGACTCTTCTCCTACAGACAACACCCATTCTCGTATACACATATATATATATACCCATATATACAACAGCCATATTGACTTCTTCAAATACACTGCAGACAAAACTAACACTAGGGGCAATGTAGGCCCACTGTTGAATGAGGTGGGGGCCCTGGTGACAGAGGATACAAAGAAGGCAGAGTTACGGAATGTCTTCTTTGCCTCTGTCTATACCGCTGGAAACTGTTCTCAGGAGTCCCAGATCCCTGAGGCCCCAGAGGAAGTTGGGATAAAGGAGGAGTTGGCTTTCGTTGATGAGGACTGAGTTAGGGATCAGTTAAGCAAGCTGGACATACATAAATCCATGGGTCCTGATGGGATGCACCCGTGGGTGCTGAGGGAGCTGGCAGAAGTCATTGCTAGACCACTCTCCATCATCTTTGGTAAGTTGTGGGGAACAGGTGAGGGCCTGAGGACTGGAGGAAAGCAAATGTCTCTCCAGTTTTCAAAAAGGGCAAGAAGGAGGACCCAGGTACCTACAGACCAGTCAGCCTCATCTCCGTCCCTAGAAAAGTGATGGAACAACTTATCTTCGGTGCTGTCTGTAGGCATAACAAGGATAAGAGGGTCATTAGGAGCAGTCAACATGGCTTCAACAAGGGGAAGTCATGTTTGACCAACCTGATTTGGAGTCCCTCAGCGGTCAGTACTGGGATCAGTACTAGTCAAAACATTCATTAGTGACCTGGACAAGGGAACAGAGTGCACTGTCAGCAAGTTCGCTGATGACACAAAACTAGGAGGAGTGGCTGACAACCCACAAGGGC